CCCATTAAAAATATATTTTAAAAAATTTCGCTAAAAAAATAAATCCATATTCCCCGTAAAAAAATATAAAATCACATTTTTGTAAAAACTTAAAATTTTATTTCTCCGCTAGATTTCCACCAAAAACTTAAAATTATGTTTTCTTGTAATAACATAAATCTCATTTTCCCTCAAAAAATGTAGATTTCGTTTTTTCGCCAAATATTTAAAATCTCACTAGATTCTAACCTCGTGCATCCGCACGGGAATATTTTTTATTGTTTAACAAATTTTATAATATAATTTGTGTTTTTGAGTTTAGATATAATTATTTTTATAAATATATTTTTTAATAAGTGAAAATATTGATTTTTGTGTTTAAATATATTTTTATAGTATTAAAATTAATTATGATTATAAAAATATAATTTTAACCCGTCCGCTAATATTAATTCAAAATGAACTATTATAAAAACATAATTCTAACTTTTTCCGTTCATATTACCGTATAATATAAATATTTGTTAAAAGTTTGAGATGTATTAATAGTATTATTTAGCATTATAATTTTCGAAAATTTAATCAACGAAGGGAGTGTACAACTGGTTTTTCAAACCATATTTTAGTGTATGCAATAATTTTTAATTTTTTATGTTTTTATTTTGTATGAAAAATATATTTTTGATATACATGTATAATTCAAAATTAGTGATTTTAGTTACCAAAATATTTTTAACCCGATTTTTATATATATATTTAGTTCTATGAATTTTAAAAAATATATTTTTAATATTTGAATTATACATTTGAATTTTACCTATTATTTTATTATTGATTTGTAAATAAATCATAATCGTAAATATATTATATAAGCAACATAAATATCATATCATTTACATCATTATAAATATATTATATTTCAAATATGGCCATTATTTTTCATATGTGAATTATTTTTTTTCAAAATTCTACATATTTTTGATAAAAATGTTTAATAGTATAGAAATTATTTAAATTAGAATCTTTAAATCAAATCTAAATTAATATCTGATTTATTATTTTTAATCAAATCAAATCAAATATAAATTACCTATATTTAAGGAACTCTAAAAATATTTAAATTAATAACTAATTTTTGAAATTAAATATAAATAATTATTAAAATTATTTTTAAACACTTCAAAAAAAATTAGAAGTGTTTGGAAGCAAGTACTAAATGTGCTTCTGTTTTAATATAATAGATTTTGCCATCAAAAATATAAAATATCGTTTTCTCGTAAAATCTAATTTTCCCATCAAAAACATAAAATCTTGTTTTTCAGTCACAAACGTAAAATCTCATTTTCTAATCTCGTTTTTCTGTCAGAAACCTAAAATCTTGTTTTTTCGTGAAAAACATAAAATCTCGTTTTCTCGTCAAAACATAAAATCTTGTTTTACCATCAAAAAACATAAAATTTCGTTTTCACGTCAAAAACGTAAATCTTAGAAAAATTTTCCGTCAAAAACCTAAAATCTCATTTTCCCGTGAAAAAACGTAAAATCTTGTTTTCTCGTCAAAAACATAAAATTTTGTTTTACCATAAAAAAGGTAAAATCTCGTTTTCCCGTAAAAAAATGTAAAATATTGTTCTCTCGTCCAAAAACGTAAAATTTCGTTTTTCTGTCAAAAACATAAAAATCTTGTTTACCGTCAAAAAGTAAATCTCATTTTCCCGTAAAAAAAATTTAAATCTCATTTTCCCGTCAAAAACGTAAAATCTCGTTTTACCGTCAAAAACGAAAAATATAGTTTACCATAGAAAAAGTAAAATCTCATTTTTCCGTCAAAAATGTAAAATCTTATTTTACCGTCAAAAATGTAAAATCTCATTTTTCCGTGAAAAAACGTAAAATCTTGTTTTGCCGTAAAAAATATAAAATATTGTTTTTTCTTCAAAAAACATAAAATTTTATTTTACCGTCAAAAACATAAAATCTCGTTTTTTTCGTCAAAAATCTAAAATCTTATTTTCCCGTGAAAAAACGTAAAATCTTGTTTTTCCTTCAAAAACATAAAAAAAAAAATTTTCCCGTCAAAACGTAAAATTTCGTTTTCGTATAAAAAACATTAAATCTTGTTTTCCGTCAAAACGTAAAATCTCGTTTTCTCGCCAAAAACATAAAATCCTGTTTTTTGCCATAAATAAATATTATGTTTTCTATACAAAACAAAATATTTGTTTTTACCAAAAATTTAAAAATGTAAATTTAATATATTTAAGATTCAATTAGATTTATAAACTTATAATTAGAATAAATAAATATTTTAATAATTTTGCTATTAAAACATAAAGATAAAGATATATATCATCCAATTAAAATGACCAAACAAATAAAGGTCCATTGCTCATTTGTGTTTTGCTCATTTTAATGTTAGTTTGCTCATTTGTTATTTGCATCATTCAGATGACTCATTCAGATGAATCATTTAAATGGATCATCTAGATGCAAATGACAAATGAGCAAACAAACAGAGCTTTATACCATGTCCATCGGGGTATGTTAATGCATCATTCAGATGACTCATTCAGATGAATCATTTAAATGGATCATCTAGATGCAAATGACAAATGAGCAAACGAACAGAACCTTAGACCATGTTCATCAGGGTATGTTAACCCATTTTGGGCTCGAAAACCTAGGCCTAACGAGTTTTTTTTTTAAAAAGAAAAAAGGTTTTTTCCAATGAACCTGTATGTTAAATTAGAGATTTAACAACCAATCTCTTACGAATTACAAAATGTGGCAGTAGGGGATTGGATGTTGGGGAAAACCTTTTGGATGTTTTTTTGCTAATTAACAATCCCAAAAGCAGTATCACCAATGGATGCCAAAACGAGCTCGGTTTGTTCACTGTTCATACTTCTAAAAATTAATAATATTTAAATGCTAACAGTCCCAAATTAAGTATCACCAATGTACATGCTTTTAGGGTATCTCCATCGCTGATTCCTTTATTGGGGTTCATGGATTATTTTAATAATTGTTTTTTTTTTTGGAACAGTAAATTTGTCTCCACATTTCTCAAAAACCGAATCAGAAGCTGCCACATATCGATGATACTCTCTTGATACAGGTTCATAAGTATCACTAAGAAGATACTGTATGAATGGATTTGAGCTTTTTTTTTATTAATTTTAAACCTAAAAATGACGTCGGGCCTACCTAAAAGACTCGACTCATCCTGTCATGGAGATGCCCTTAGTACTACATATTTAGATGACAACAAAAATTTAGTCTGATTTACTGACTTTATTTTTATAAGGTACTAATATAATATATTTATATTCACCATTAATTTTATATTCTCTTAAAACAAAAGCAATTAAATGAAGATCGCCATTGGTGACAAGGTCCACGGTGGTGAATGGTGATGAAAGCACAACCGCCATTTTTGAAAAATGTTGAAAGAGCAAACGTACAATATAAGTCAAGCTCCACTCGGCGTGGTCACAAATGAAATGATGAGTGTGTTCAATCAACATAAACTAGATGAATACCCACGCACATGCGTGGGTTTTATTTTAATATATTGTCTATTGCTTAAAATTTAAGTTTAGTTTAGATTTTTGGTTTTTTTGATGGCCATATACATGTTGAAAGCAAATTTAAGTTTAGTTTAGATTTTTGGTTTTTTTTTATGGCCATATACATGTTGAGAGAGATTAATTAATTGTTTACTTGTTTTCTTAAAGTGAACTTGTTTTGGTTAGTTTTTTTTAATTGACTTTTTCTTTTGTTTTCATGAAATTTTATCAAACACTTCCTCTACTAAAAACCATTAATTTCTTCAATTAATCGTGGAACATCATAACAAATCTAGATATGATAATCTAGCAAATACTAAATATTATGATTAGGAACCTAATAGACATATTTTTTAAATAAATGGATAAACTTCTATGCAATTTTTCTATTCTTATTGGCAAAGACCTTCACAATCTCCACTGAAGTTAGATAAGTTAGTAAATGAATATAGCATGGCGGCCTTTGGTATTTTATACCTCAGAGATTATATTTTGCATCACGTGTAGCCAAATATGTCTTTCTCCATTTTCATCATTGGATTTGACTTATGCTGCTCTCGTGGCTTTCTGCTGTGAGAACTAATATTCCCAGCTCCAAGACCTGATGAAGATAAACCAAGCTACAAACTCCATTTCATGCACATAAAATGATATAACATAGAACATGGTTAAATACTCTTAATTTGTTCCCATCTTGCATTTTTAACTTTGACATCAGAGTTTAAGAACCGCAAAGAGAGCTCCTTGACAAGCGCTTTGCTTCTCAAGTGACAAAGAGGGCTTTGCTTCTCAAGCGACAAAGAGGGCTTTGCTTATACTTGGATCCATGGATACCATTTTGAATCATGTCTCTGGTTCACGCCCTCTATCTTTTATCCTCCTAAGAAACCTTAAAGAGAAATATTCTCTAAACATGTTAGCCTATCAGCAAGGATAAAAAATATTTTCAAATCTTCTTCTAGTCAAAGCTTCTGAACATACTTGAATAAAAATCATTGAAACGTTTCATGTCTTTACTTCATGTGATCAGTCACATCCACATGCAAAAATAAGCTAGGTATCAACCCAAGACTAAGTTGGTCTTTCATGATATGGAGGAGGAAGAAAGGGAGCTGATTGTCACGCCCATATTTTGCTTAGACCGTGATGGGTCGTGCTGGGACGAGACGGGCCGAAACCAGGGGGTTATGACCCAACACTTAGTCATTTCTATGCTTTCTTTCCTTTATGTATTTCCGGAACTCTCTAGAACCTTGTGGAACTTTTTGGTTGGGTCAAGAGAGAGTAGATAGTAGTTGGGAAGTAGAATAAATGTAGTAGTTGGGTAGATACATTTATTAGGGTAGTTGAGTGAAATCTCTATATAAAGAGAGGAGCTCCCTCAGTTGTAGGTAGATCTCAGAATCCAAGTTTTCTCTAATAAGAGTTCTCTTCCCCTTTCTCTTTCTAAAACACGCCACTTTCTCTCTCTAAGCACCAGGGTCCGAGTTTAGACGGCTGACTTAGCGTGTGCGCGGAACAGTAAAGCGCTAAGGCCGCACGGTTTGGTTCAAGGAGGAATCGGGCCGTGACATGATGGTGAAGTTTCAGCGACAAAACAAACACCCTCCACTATAACAGTGAAGATGGAACAATACACAGCTCCCCTATTTCATGATAAAACGTCTCTAAGGAGCTCAATAGTAATATTTTAAGATACAGGAGTTGTTCTTGTTCTCATCATAGTCTATCTTCTTATAAGCCTTTAAACTTATATTTAAACAATTGCCTTCCTAGAATCTGGTACTTGTAGGAGATCTATAGGGTAAGAGTAGTATCTTAAAATCTTATCCATAGAAAGAAACAGAGTAGTAAGAGAACATAAGTAAAAATCATGGGAGAATATGAGAATGAGAGTCATACTCGTTAATCTAAACAATGTCTTAGAAACAAGTTAAAGACATATGAAGAGTCTGAATCATTTTAGTTATATATACTTTTCGTCTTTCTTCCTCAACCTCCTTCCTCCTCTATTCTTCTTTTTCTCCTTCAGCTCCTTTCATTCTCAGCCTCTCTCCAGCTTTATTACCCACCACCAAAGACATCGCCGACCAATCTATCAGAAAAAGAATCGATCTGCCATGAGGGTTGATGCATTTATTTTGGGTTTAGGAGGAAGTAGAGGGATTTAGAAGATTCTTTAAGCCAATTCAGCAGTCGTAATTTGAAAGCACTTGCAAACATGTAAAATATAGATGAGACTTAATGGGGCTGATAAAAGAAAGCTTTCGCCTATTCAAATTTCGAGATTGTTGGGAGGAGAAGTTCTGATTAATCTCTCACCACTGTCACTTTTTTCTCCTGCTAAATATTTTATTTATTTTTCAAAGCTGATGTGTCAAAAGAAGAGGTGCTGATGTGTCACATTTGTGAGACACAACTCACTCTTTATATAATAGATAATCTCTAATCAAATAAATCACCATAATATAGTCAACGTGACTTAAGTTTTTGAACGAAAGACGGTCTGAATTTGACAGAGCTTTCTCACATCGTCATCACCACCGTTGTTTTGTTTTGGTTGACGACGATGCTGAGGCTACGGCTCTCTCTATGTCTGGTTTTGACGGTATGGTTCGTGCGTAATTCTGGAACAGTTCAAATGGTTCAAGCCCAAAACCAAACTACTCATCCCGAAGAAGGTTTGTGTCTGCCTTCTTCCTCTTTGAACATTTTGTAAAAGAATTTGATAACCATATTGTAAGGCTAAGAGTGTTTGGTTCACTGGTTTGTTCAAATAGATAGAGGATTCGTCATGTGAAGTTAAGATAGGGGAGTCACCTGACTGATTATTCGTTCATCAGACTCTTGCTTTCCATTTTTCACGATATTTAACGTTTGGATTCCCTTGAGTGCTTCCGAGCAGAGCCGTGTTTATAGTGTTAATAATTAGGCACTTGCCTAAGGATACACGAATTAAAAAAAAAATAAAAAGGCCACAATTTTTTTAGCTAAACATTTTTTATATATAATTTGGTAAATATGGTTAGGATATTCCTTTGCAACCCTATAACAATAGTATTGTTATTGGTATCTTTCAATTTTATAGATATGGATCCATATTTTTTAACAAATATTATAATAATGTATGATATGATAAAAAAATAAAAAGTATGTTAAAATAGTATTATTGTGTGTTTAATGACAATATTATTTTTTAATATTTATAAAAATAAAAGCCACATTTTTCTGATTTGCCTAAAGCCTCTATGAGTCTAAGCACGGCACTGCTTCCGAGATGTAGTAGGATTGATGAGACTCATGTTTATGACAGTTACATTGCAAGTTCAGGACTTACCGGTGAGATCCCTTCATCATTTGCTAATCTCGTGGAATTAGAAGAGGCGTAAGAATTATCTTAATATAATATGTGATGAGGTCATCGAGGCAAGCCTAACACTAGCTGATGAAGAACCGATCAACATACCCACCATGAGACATGCACCAAGGACAAGGTCAGGAACTAAGAGTCTAAGAGAGGAGTTCAACAAGTCAATAGAAGGGCTGATCACACTTATAGAGCACGGGGAACTCAAAGAGAAGCTACTCAAAGGGGAGATCACCCGAGAGACACCAATGGAGCCTCTAACCGAGTTCAGCACGCTTGAGACCCAACAAGACGACGTGGAAGACTCGGCCGGTTCAAGCCAAGACCTTCAAGAATCCAAGAAAGTCAAAGAGACACCGAGCAATGACTACTCTCAACTCAAGCGTCAAGCCATATCATTCTTACCTGTTTTACAAGGCATCAAGGACGCTACTACGTTTGTCATCTCCAAGCAAGTGGAAATGCCACTCATCGAACCAATGTAAGTGTTTACAATTGGATTATATTTCACGAGTTTATTGTTTGTTTTGCAGGAGCTTTTCTTTGCCTTAGTCGTTTTTCTTAGTTTTTAGAATTTTTCCATTTTGTTGCTTTAGTTAAACGATGAGCTTTGTAGTTTCCTTTTCTGTATTTTTCGGCCAAGAGAAGCCACCCCGCTGTCGAACCATTATATAAGGTTCCTTCTCAGCATGTAAACTTTTAACCTATCAATAAAATAACCGAGTTTTCTTTGAAAGCAAAAACCCTAGCCGCAGCTAGTTCCCTTCCTCTTCTTGGGTGCGATTCCTTTGAAGCTGAAGAACAAGACTTATCACAGACTCTTCCATCATCTGTGTGGCGTCTCTCGATCCATTGTTACCCGGTCTCATCGTTTAATCACTCCCTTTCTATCGAGTCATCTAGAGAGAGCCGTACGGCCAACTAGAGATTCACCACCTTTCCATCCAAGCAAGGACAAGTATCTCTTGTTCCTACATCAATATGTTCTGGATTATTTTCGAGTTTTGGCTACTCATTTCTATACTGAAGTATAACTCATAATTGGATTGACTTTTTATTATTTTTTTTTATGTTGTGTAAGTTGGACGAATGATGTCCAACTCACAGGTCGGATACCGGAATTTATAGGAAAGTGGACCAATCTTTCGGCACTGTAAGAAATTTAATATTGCAGCTCTTTTGTTGTTCTGTTTTCACTCTTCTTTCTCTTGACCAAATCTCCACATGTAGTATTACTGTAAACAATCAACACACACTTGATAGTGATCATTTTATATGTTAATGGCCATAAGCTCATACTCAACATTTTGACACAAGCTTCACTGCAGGAGAATTCTATAGACTAATTGACTGGTCCAGTTCCATCGTCATTTGCCAGCTTAACTTATTTGACAGAATTGTAAGTGTTAAATATATGCTCTTTTCTCTTTATTTTTTCATTCTCTTGTTCTGGATTTTGACCACAACCTGAAATACAGGAGACTAGGTGATATATCTAATGGTAACTCCACTCTCGAATTCATCCGGGACATGAAATCTCTCAGTGTCTTGTAAGGCACTTCTATTCAGTTTTTTTCCTAGCCTTGATGGATCCTCTTTATTTTCTTTACATTTATGAAACATCTTGCAGAGTATTAAGGAACAATAATCTTAGGGACACCATACCTTCCAATATTGGAGAATTTGTGCATCTGAGACAACTGTAAGTATGGGACAAGATGACAAAAATGTTGTTCTGGATATTTAGATGCTCCGAAAACTGTCCATGTCTTCTTTGTTACTAAAATGAGATGACATGCTTAAAGCACAGACTACATATGATTACAAAACAATCTACATTATTTGTTCTCCAGTGATTTGAGTTTCGACAACCTAATTGGGCAAATTCCAGCTTCTCTTTTTAACTCTAGCCAACTTACTCACTTGTAAGTTTAGTTTTCTTTTCCTCATAATTAACTTTTATTGAGAATTCACGGACTTACTGAGTTTAATATTGTAAACTTTTTTAGGTTTCTTGAGAATAACTAGTTGAACGGTTCTTTACCCACTCAAAAGAGTTCTTCTCTAAGCAATATGTGAGTAAGATATATATGGTCAGGGAGTGCAGGTTCTTTTTAGGTACCATTTATTGAAAACCTGTCAAGATAATTCAGCGTGCTTATGTGTAGAGATGTCTCGTACAATGATTTAGCGGGGAGTCTTCCTTCTTGGGCTAGCCTACCAAACCTGCAACTGTAAGTTAGGGATTGTGTGCTCAAATTAGTCTGAACATACATTATTGTGCTGAAAACAAGTTTTTGTGTTTTTTTATGCAGTAACCTGATTGCCAACCACTTTACATTGGGAGCTTCTAACAGAAGGTAAATCCGTGAATTTTGTGTTCTCCTTCTTGAAGTTCTACTATGTTTCTATTTATCAAGCATAAATATGTATATGTACATGCTATATTCCTCATTATGTACCTTTTGGTCTTGTTAAAAGAATTTTCCCGGGACTAGACTGACAAAGAGATGATGGAATGTTGTGTCGTTCTTATTCCATTCAAAGGGTATATATACATGTACACATAAGAAGAAAGGAAAGATTACATAATGCAATATATGAGAATATACTTTATGATATTTACATCCTACTCCTCAATAATCCCCCTAAGTTGGAGCATGTAGGTCTTTAATGCCCAACTTGCTGCGAAGATACGTGAACTGTTTTGAACCCAACGCCTTTGTAAAGATATTGGCTAACTGTTCATTTGTACGAATGTGTGCCGTAGTGAGTGATCCAATCTGAATCTCGTCTCTGACAAAATGACAATCAGCTTCGATATGTTTCGTTCGTTCGTGAAAGACGGGATTTGCAGCAATCTGCAATGCAGCTTTACTATCACAGTGAAGGTGCATTGGCTGTGAATGAGATACTCCAAAACATGAAAGAATTTCTCGATTCCATTTCAATTCCCGTGTAGTAAAGCTCATTGCCCTATACACTACCTCTGTCGAAGAACATGATACAACTTCTTGTTTCTTCGTCTTCCAAGCTACGGGTGAATTGCCCAACATCACGATAAACCCCGTAAGAGATCTTCGAGTCATCGGACATGTAGCCCAGTCGGAATCGCAATATGCCGTAATTTGCAAATCAGATTTCGAACTCAACAAAATTCCTTGTCCTGGACAGCCCTTTAGGTAACGCACAACTCTGATTGCTGCATCCCAATGTTTCGATCGAGGCTGCTGCATAAACTGAGCAAGCATATGCACAGCATAAGCTAATTCCGGTCTCGTATAAGTAAGATACACCAAACGCCCAACCAACCTATGATACTGTTCGTGATCACTGCGGTATTCACCGTCATCTTTAGCAAATGTATGGTTTTGTTCCATTGGTGTAGACACAGGTTTACAGCCCAACAAACCGCATTCCTTGACAATGTCTAACGCATATTTTCGCTGCGACAAATAAATCTCTTCAGCTGATCTCGCTACCTCAATACCTAAAAAATATTTCAATGGACCCAAGTCTTTCATGTGAAAGCATTGGTTGAGATAACCTTTGAATTTCTTGATAGCCTCTGGATCATTACCTCCGATCAACAAATCATCCACATAAATCAGCACATATAATCGCGTAGACCCTCGCACCAATGTAATCAGGGAATAGTCTGGTTTTTTCTGAGTAAAACCATAACCTCGTAAAGCCGCCGTCAGTTTAGAAAACCAGCATCTCGGCGCCTGTCGAAGTCCATATAAAGACTTTCTAAGTCTACACACCTTCGACTTGTCCTTGGATTCAAACCCTGGAGGCATCTTCATATAAACTTCTTCATGAAGATCACCATGAAGAAAGGCATTGTGTACGTCCATCTGGTGAACTTCCCATTCCTTAACCGCAGCCACTTTTAAAAACATCCGAACCGTAGTCATCTTTACCACTGGAGCAAATGTCTCATCATAGTCTAGCCCCTATTCCTGTCGATTACCATAAGCCACCAGTCTCGCTTTATAACGCTCCACTTCTCCATTTGATCGATACTTGATCGTAAAAACCCATCGACATCCGATTGCTTTCTTATTTGGGGGAAGGTCTGTAACGTCCCAAGTGTGATTAGCTTCCAATGCTTTAACCTCCATTGTTGCAGCATTCCTCCACCTCTTATCTTTCATTGCTTCTTTAAATGATGTTGGTGCCTCACCTACCGTAATCGCTGCAAGAAATGCTCGGTGCGATGGAGAAAAATTATCACAATTCACTTAATGTGCAATTGGATATTGGACCATACCTTGTGGAGAGGATGATGATGGAGGGTGCGCGGGTGAGAGTGTGGGAGTATCTGTGTTGCACCTTGTCGTATACACGACAAAGTCATTTAGTCTAGAAGATGGTCGCCGTTCTCGTTGACCCCTGCCCAATTGAGGTTCTGCTGCAGGAGCAATTTCTTCCTCTGAACCAACCATCTCTCCCTGCGACAAGCTGTTATCACCCTGAGGAGTCACCTCAGGCGTGGGTGAACTCCCCCTATCTGCAGGCATCAATGAACTCCCCCTTGCTGCAGACTGATTTCGAGTATATTCAACAAAATCCTCATCATCGTCAATAATAGGATTCGATTCCATAACTGTAACGGGTTGGGACTAGTGATCAGAAGAGAGAAATGGAAAAATCATCTCTTGAAAGACCACATCCCTGGATACGAAAAATTCATTCTTCTCAATATCAAATACTCGCCATCCTTTTTGTCCGAAGGGGTAACCCATAAATATGCATTTCCTACTCCTCTTGCCAAATTTGTCTTTGTCTCGGACCACTCTCCTCGCGAAACACAAGCTACCAAACACCCTTAATGAGGTTAAATCTGGCGAAGCTCCATACAATATCTCATATGGCGTTAGTCCTTTCAGAAGAGCCGATGGTGTTCGGTTAATCAAGTGACACGCCGTGAGTACACATTCTCCCCAAAAACGAATCGGCATCCCTGCTTGAAACATGAGTGAACGAGCGACATTGAGGATATGTCTGTGTTTTCGTTCAACCCTGCCATTCTGCTGTGACGTGTAGACACACGACGTTTGATGAACAACTCCTTCTGATAAGAAAAACGATTTTAGAGCCAGAAATTCGCCACCGTTATCACTGCGTACAATTTTCACTTTCTTATCAAACTGCCTCTCGACCATCCTGAAAAAATTCTTAAGTGTTGTGCCTACTTCTTTTTTCTCCATCAACAAATACACCCACACAGCACGTGAATAATCATCAACAATCGTAAGAAAGTAAGCAGCCCCAGATGTTGATAAAATATGATACGCACCCCAAATATCGCAATAAATTAAATCAAAAATATCAGCAGCTTTATTAGAACTTTCATGAAAAGAATCTCGAGTTTGTTTCGCCCGTAAACAAATATCACAAACTGTTTTGACATTCTCCTTTTTCTCAAAATTCAGACTACTCGATAAAAACAAAATAACTTGACTAGATAGATGACCGAGACGACGATGCCATAAATCCCAAGTCTCCGAGCTCACCACTTTGTGTGTCTTTGTGCCAATGACGCCTCGAAACACATACACTCCCCCACACTCTTCACCCGCTCCAATCACCTTCCTCGTAGTACGTTCCTGCAACACACACAGCTCATCAGTAAACGTAATAAATCCCTTACAAACTTTTAACAGTTTTGCAACAGAGATTAGTGAGCAAGTCAACTCCTTCGAGTACA